ATCTGCCATCTCAGCCGCACTCTTGCGAAAGCCTGCCTGGGAGGAAGAAGTTTGTCTGTCTTTGCAAACCCTCCTCCTCCTCCTTAATGAACGCAGCTATACAGCCGGGCGGGGGTGGGGGGTGGGGGTGGATTATAGAAGCACTGCCATAAATCCAGATGTTAAGAATTATCCCACAAGCTCCGTGACCTGACCCAGCGTGGGTCAGGGTCCCTGGGGAGCAAACTAACTCATTCGTTAAAAAAACCCCAAAACACAACACGCGAGGGATCAAGCTCTCAGCCGCCGAGTTGCAACAGTTTCTCTTCGGCGCGGTGTTCTCAGTGGGGAGGGGCCAGCATCTCGTTGCTCTGGGCTCGCGCGGGCTTGCAGGGGACAGGCTCTTCGGGAACAAAGAGACGGGAATCTCTGCTTCTCCGCCACACGTCACAGCCAAAAAATCAGTCAATCAGATCAGCCCCCTGAGAAAAGACAAAGGCAGTCTGTTTCAGCAGTGGGAGCAAAACAGCTTTTAACATCACTTTATTAGCCCTATACAATTTCTTGCATTAGGAATTTGTCTTTTCGCATACCCCAGCTTGCTCTCAATGAGGCACACAGACAGGGAGAGAAGCTAGGGGTCAGGACACAGGGTCAGCCATTGTACAGCGCCCCTGGAGCAGTTGGGGTGAAGGGCCTTGCTCAGGGGCCCAACAGAGTAGGATTTCTCTGCTAGCTGCAGGATTTGAACCAGCAACCTTCCAGCCACAGGCGCAGATCCTTAGCCACAGAGCCACCACTCCGCCCAGCTTCATTTAAGTGCCGGGAAAGGTTCATTCTTACGGTAAGCGTTTCATTCATTCTTGTCCTGGGCTCGTTCTTTAAAGCAGATGGAGAAAGATGAACCGTGGAAACTCCCGATCGTTCTGCGCAATAAACCAGGAGATGTCACCACCCTGCTCGCATCCAGACCTTGCCTGTTGGAGCAGGCTTGTATTTCCTACAGGTCCTGTTTCTCACCCAGGGCACGTCGGCCTCTGGGCAGGTGCGTGTCTGATTGACTTGCGGTTTTCAGCTTTGCTTGATAACAGCTGTTCAGGAGGGGGCTCTCTGGGGCCCAGAAAAATCCGTAGGCGTGGTGGGAGGATTCGTGGTTGCATCTGAAGGGCGCCCCCTTTGGAGACAAATGATCTTGGGAAGGAGGCACCCCGTCTTGCACAAAGACGAATGGGATGGCTCTGTAGCAGAGCTGGTCTGAAATACTGACTGACCGTTCTCTCTTCCGGCCCTCGGATTCGCTCATTTCAGGAGGCCGGATCGGAAGCACTCTCGGTCGTGGGTCACTCAGCAACGGCGGTGAGTTCCGCCTCCCCAAAGGGCCAGCCTCACACTGCGGGAGAATTTCTCTTCCGGGTTTTATCACCTAGAGAAGGTGCGGGTGCAGTGCTCAGTTCCCAGTACATTCTGCTAGGGCCGGCACCAACCGGATTGGACAAGGGGACGCAGTTCCTGCTGTGGCTGATGCTGTCCCTGACCAAACAAGGCCTGTGGGACGCGAGGAAGACTCTCATCCGGCACAGCGCAGAGTGGGGAGCGAGGGAGCTGGAGGAGAGGAGCCTGGCGGACCTCAGGAGGAGGATGAAGCGCGACGTCGCCAAATGGGGCACTGGAGAGGACTGTGGGCCCTGTACAGGGACTAACGGACAATAGCAAGTGGTAGGGCTTGGAGAGACTCTTTTAATTGTACAAATCCACACCCACTTGCACAGCTTGATAATGGACAATCACCGCCGTTCAGAATGTTTTATTGCATGCGATGTCTTAATGATAATGTTTCTTTATTAGCCCTATACAATTTCTTGCATTAGGAATTTGTCTTTTCACAGACCCCAGCTTGCTCTCCATGAGACACACAGACAGGGAGAGAAGCTGGGGGTCAGAGTGCAGGGTCAGCCATTTATACAGCACCCCTGGAGCAGTTGGGGTGAAGGGCCTCCTTGCTCAGGGGCCCAACGGAGTAGGATTCCTCTGCCGGCTGCAGGATTTGAACCGGCAACCTTCCAGCCACAGGCGCGGATCCTGAGCCACAGAGCCACCGCTCCGCCCCGTTTTATTTTGTGTGAGAATGTTTTCCTTTTTGAGATGTTGTCACGGAATAAAGTATATTTTGTAACAAAAAAATATATCATCTAGAGAGGCTCGGTGAAAGAGCCCAGCTCTGTGGACATCCGACAGTGTGCACTGCATTCGGGAAAACTCATGCCCACCCTTTCTCTTTCCTGTGTTCCCATCCAGAATTCCAATGTACTTGTACATACGGCAGTGAACTACTCTACTCACCTCCCCCAGCTCACTGGTCGGCGATGTGTGGACCCGTCGCCGACGGCGATGAGTGCGTGAACTCGTTCGGCCTGGCGATTATCTCACGGCCTGTCCACCCCCCCTGCGGAGACCGGCGATGAGCTCACACACACCCCCTCCTGGACTGGCGGGAAGCACTTGTGTGTGAGTATCCCCACGCTCCTCCAGCACCAGACTGGTGAGAGAGAGAGTCATTATTATCCCCGGGGGGAGCAAGTTTTTTTAATAGCAGCTGTGTTGGTGTACAGACAGACAAAGAAAGATAAAAACAGAAAAAAATGAGAGGAACAACAATATAAATACGAATCTCATCCTGAAACTGGGTTCACACCTCCCCCCTTCTCTCAATGACGGACTTATTTTCATGTAATCTTCTCTATTGTCATGCAGGTTTTGACTTCACATTTTTCTTCACCCTTCTGCACTTCGCACTTCCTGAGTGGCCTCTCTGCCTCTCCCCTCTCCCAGCTTTTGTTCTCCTGAGCTATTTAATCTTTGCTGTCTGCCCTGTCTTTCTCCACACCTCAAGATCAAGATCTCTTTATGGTCCCTATACAATTTCTTGCATTAGGAATTTGTCTTTTCACAGACCCCAGCTTGCTCTCCATGAGACACACAGACAGGGGCCCCTGGAGAAATTGGGGTTCAGGGCTTTGCTCAGGGGCCCAACGGAGTAGGATTCCTCTGCTGGCCGCGGGATTTGAACCGGCAACCTTCCAGCCACAACCTTTTAGCCACAGAGCCACCTCTCCGCCCAAGAAGAAGGCTCCACAGCCGAAACGTTGTGTTTTCTCTCTTCTCTTTTCAGCCTGGAATAAACCTATTACTTGTTCCTTTGCAGACTACGCATGCTGAGACAGCTACCCACCTAAACAACAATATACATACATATACATATTTACATAGAAGGTCAAGAGTTCAGTAAGGATATGGCTCCAGGTATGAATGAGAACTGGAATCTGTTGGTTTTGGAGTTGGGGGGTCGGTATCTGCGTTCTGATGGGAGCAAACAAGGGGGGTGAAGGATCATCAAAGACGGATTTTGCTTTTCGCAAAAAACGTGTTTGATAGACAGAGGAGAGGGCTGGGAGATCAGCACCAGTGTCTGACAGATTTTCACCAGGCTGCCCAGTTTGTTCTGATCTGTACCTCAGATTCAGGTGCCCAAACCAGCAGGGCAGGGTAAAAGTGAGAGCAGCTTCAAGGAAGGACCGGTAGAACAAAACCAACAATGAATCATCAACCCTAAAATACTTCAGGTTTAATAAGGTGGCGATGACTTCCCCGGCCCCACTGGGGTGTTCCTTTGCCTTCATCCCCAGCCCGAGCCTGATCCCGGAGCAGTAAAAAGGCATCAGACATCATTGAAATCGGATCTGTCGAGCCTGTAATCCAGGGCCCTCTCCATCCCCTGCAGAGCTGGGGCCACTTTTCGCCAACACAAAACACATTCTTACCTAACTGCCGAATCATGCACCTCGCTGCTGTAATTTGCGAGCTAAACACCTGGTGTAATTGAACTTTTATGTAAATTCCTCCTATAAGGGTGTGCGTAATATAGCCTCAATAAATGTAATATATTAGTCTCACTAAACGTGCTTTCGTTCTCCTCTGGCTTCAATTGCAGCCACCAGTGATGGCTTTTTATCATCGAGATATTGTCAGGCTGTCTGTGTAGAGGCTTAACACGAGTCTCCAGAGAGTGCAGCGACTGCTATTAATCACCTAACTGAGACAGAGCATTAGTCATGCATTAGGGGGATTCAGTTGTTGCTTAACTCTTGGATTTCTTCTTTGTTAATCTAAAATAATGTGGGCGGCACAGGGGCGTGGCCGTGAGTGTTGCCTGAGAGCTTTGGAGTCCCGGGGTCCATTTCAGCCCAGGGGATCCTTATGTGTGGAGTCTGCATGCTGCCCACCCCACCTGTCCACAGGTGCTCTAGAGAAACATGCAAGCAAGCTGAATTGCTGTCTCTAGCTTGTTCTTTTGCAGGTGTGCCCTATGAGGAACTGATGTCCCAGCCGGGTGCCCTGTAGCTTGTCCCTGTGCAGGTGTGTGTGTCCTGTCCCAGCTTGGTGCCCTATGCTACTGGCAAGGACTCTGGGTATCCACAGCCCTGACCAGAAAAGAGCTGCTTCCTGTTCATGGATGGATTTAATAAAGTTACCCATGTGGTGGGAAAGTCATGAGAACCACACTTGATGAGTCAGTATTAATGTTTAATGAGAAAGAGGCTTCATCCTGCTAATGGGCATAGCAGTGCAGAGCCATCAAGACACAATGCTCAGGCTGGGATAGCACCCTGGCCACACCCATGGGCAGTATTCAGTGCCATCAGGATCCGGAGAAACTTGAGGTGAACATGCAGACTCCACACAGAAGGTATCCTAGTCTGAACTGGAGCCCAGGACCCAAGAGCTGTGAGTCACTTATAAGCCTTGACACAGTTCCACCTGCTTAGTCAGCAATAAAGATAAATTGCCAGCAATTTCCTTTTGCATTGACCAGACACGTCTTTGTCATCACGTGTTGTGCGTTTTTACGCTAATGCAGATGTGCCCTTGGTGTTTCCGGACCCAGATTACTGACGTGGTTTTGAAAAGGAGAACAGAGAAAGACAACCACTGGAATTGAAGAAAAGTGTTAAAGTGTTAAATTAAATAAAAGAAAAGAAAGAGAGAAAAAATCCAAGAAAACCAGCCCATTCAGCCCATCGAACCTGTTGGGGTTGTGGTAGTTGTCATGGATCCACGGACGGCATCCAGCTGGGTCCTGAGGCAAAGCAAGGTTTCACCTTTGCCAACATGACTGAGAAGGTTGTTCCAGTCTCCCGCCACTCTTTGTGTAATGAAGCACCCCCCCCCCCCCTTACACGCACAATTCTCATTTTGTAACTGCACTTCCCTGCACTTTTCACTAGTGTCCTCTGGTGTGTATTTCACTGTTGATTTTCACTGCTAAACGAGTCCACTGGATTGCCTTAACATTAACCCTTTCTTATGGCCACATGCCCTAGTCGTCACTGCCAGCAATTAGGTGAAGCCATCAATTTGGCAGCAATTTAACACGATGTGTGTGGTGCCTTAATTCATTGTCGTGCACCGATCAGATTACAAAATGGTTCTGTCCACAGCACTGCTCAGCGTACCAGCCTTATGAAACTGTGCTGTGGTAGACTTAGGTTAAAACATTGTAGATTGTCAGTAAAAAAGTGAAATCGTGTTTTTAAAGAGGGAAAGGCACAGGGAGGGGAGTCGTGAAATCGCTTTTCTCCACAATAACCCATTGGGTAGTTAGCAACCCTGAGCGCTTCCTAATTGGAAACAGCGGACGGCCGTGTGATTGTTAGGCTTTGCTGTGTGTGTTACAGAACAGCCAGAGGCACTGTGGGGGAGGAGGGCGAGACTTGGACCGAAGCCCGAAAACGGACACCTGCAAGGCATCGCATTCCCACAGTTTCCTTGACAGGAGGAGGGAGCGGAGCTAATATAAACACAGCCCCTGCTCCCGAGCGCGGGCGGCGCGGTGACGTCCAGGACACGGACACGAGTGGTTGACAGAATTTTTGTGTTTACGCTCGTTAATAGATAGATACTTTATTGGCCGCGTGAGGGAAATTACAGTGCAACAGCAGCTAAACACAGACGACACAGCCACAGTGTAACGAATGATACAATAATAACACAATACGTACAATCCAATCAGTACAGTGGGGTGCACTAAAAGAGTTACTCACAGTCCAGGACACACAAAGAACAAACTAGAACAGAACAGAAAAATCGTATTGCACATATGAATATAAATATAGATGTATTGCACGGGTCCCTGGCATATATTGCACAAAAAACGGTTGTTAACGGGAAAAGAAAAAGAACAGATGTATCGTGTTGAATGACGCGTAGATACCCACTGTCGCCTCCGTGCCCGTCTTCTCCCATCCCCCGTCCTCCTCCTGCCGGTCTGGACAATCCGATTATTCCCGTTTCTTTCTCTCCTCCCAAAACAAAGGGCGAAACAGGAAAGATCAAGTCGCTTGTCTTCTTTTTTATGCGTTTAATCGTGGTTATTAAATATGACAACAGACCCGCCGCGGATGCCGTCTGCCCGTTTTCTATTTTTCTATTATTCTCATACACGGCAGTAGGAGAGCTATCCTATCCCGGCGGCCGTGAGGCAGGGTACACACTGGAGGGGTCGATTCTGAGCACAGAGACACGGACACCACACTCACACCAATGTTTCCAGAGGCCCATTAACCTACCAGCGTGTTTCTGGACTGTGGGAGGAAACCAGAGCAGACAGAACGCAGGGGGAACATGCAAACTCCACACAGACAGCACCCCAGGCATTCAAGCCAGGTTCCCTTTTGCTGCGAGGTTGCAATCCTCACCACAGCGCCGCCGTGCCGCCCGTTGAGGTGGATTCACGACGTGGAATCTGGCAGCAGGTGCTCTCAACCGGACCAGCGCGTTCGAGGAGCAGGAAACTTCGACTCGAAAGCAACTGGAGGATCCTTCCAACGACGTGCGATTCACCGAGGTATGGCCGACAGCAGAAGGGCCTTCAAGATAAAACATGCCTCGCAAAATAGAAAAACACTTTCTTCACGCTAGGAGGGCTAGTACAGCTTATCTGCAGCAGATGGAGAGCGGAAATGTGTTTTATTAGTCTAATGCAGGAAGCCGATACGCTGGTGAGCTGCTGTTACAAGGACAGTGATGAGGATGGCAGGTCCACACTCATCATACTGGGACTGTGGAGGTTTCAGCTTTTATGTTAATGTTAAGACCTGTAAATGGAGCCACTCTATGCAAGCATGCAGTATAAGTCTCAATTAGTAAAAAAAACAACATGCATTTTTATCCAGGCAGTAGGAAATAAGAACAGTAATAAGAGGAAGCCATTTCCATCCGATATTTAGTATCTAATATATCCCAGGATCTCATCCAGCACTTTCCTGAAAGAAGCCAGGGTATCACCTTCAACATGACGAGGTTGTTTGTTCCACACCTCCACCACCCTTTGGGTAAAGGAGTTTTAATTGCATTTTCACATAGTTTTCAATTGCGTCCTCCTGGTTTGTGTTTCACAGTTCAGTCTGAAGACATTGTCTGGGCTGGCCTTGTCAGTGCCCTTGATGACATTGGATAAGAGTTATGCAGCTCACTCTTTCCAGCGAGGTGAGGTAGAGACTGTAGTGGCTGCACGTTGCATCAGCAGGCGCTGCTGTTGAGTCAGAGCCTCACTTGCCAGAGCTCCTATCTGAAAGGGCAGAACTGAAGGAGCTCCATTGATTTGTTTAAGGCGAAACACACTGGAGACAGGGGGGCACAGCCGAGACTTGAACCCGGAATCTCCTTGTAACACGTCTTTACCTTCCTGTATTTTACACCTTCTGTACAAAAGCATCATCCCTTCAGGGACTCCCGTTTCTTGTAAATGGAATATTTCACGTTTGTTCCAAAACTACTCAACTTCACTGTCTAAAGATTAAGGCACCATACACATAGCATATACATGGGGTGGTTTGGTGGCTCAGGATCTGCGCCTGTGGCTGGAAGGTTGCCAGTTCGTATCCTGCGGCCAGCAGAGCAATCGTACTCCGTTGGGCCCCTGAGCAAGGCCCTGAACCCCAACTTTTCCAGTATGAATGGCTGACCCTGTGCTCTGACCCCAGGCTACTCTCCCTGTCTGTGTGTCTTACAGAGAGC